TGACCCACATAGTATATAACAAACATAAATAAAATATAATAATATATATTTACTGAAATAATAATCTACAAGAATAAAAAAAAATTGTATACAGGCAAAATGTTTTTTCTTTTCAACCAAACTAAATAAAAATAAATAAACAACTTTCAAATAAAAAAAAAAAATTAAATACTTTTACAAAACAACTTGAATTAAAATATAAATAAAAAATAAACAGTTAGGTACTTAGTTTCCGAAACAATTTGAACAAATTTTTCTGCTGCACTCAAGACATATGGGATCCCCACAGAGTTTGCATTGATAAATAGTTTTCCTTTTCTTCCTAGGAGGACATATTCGACACGTTTTTCGTGATTCCAGTTTGTCTTCGTACACTGGCGTATCTTTTAAGTGTTTTGATTTACCGAGAACTCTTCCGATTCCACTTCTTATTTCACGTGAGATGCGTGTATTTTCAAAGCGTCTTTCTAATTCTGGACTCACAAGTTCAAACGCTAAACTCTTCAAATAATCGGCTCTTGTCATTGTTTCGTTATTTTTAAAAGAATTATATAAGACATACGAATTAACAGAAGAAATATCAAGAAGTCTGTAAAAAATCGCTAACGGCCAACGACGAGTACGACGTCCAGCAGAATAAACAGAACATTTTTCGTCCAATGCATCAACGCCTCCTTTTGTACTATTATAATAAGAAATGATTTCAGGTTTTTGGACGTCATTGTCAAACCCTTTTTGATTGTGCATCGATGAGATTAATAACACTGCTTTATTTGGTTTTGGCTCGTACGATAAAAGTGTAAGATCTTTTGTAAATCCATATTGAGTAAAGCCAACTGTACTTTTCTTTTTTGGTAAAAAAGCTTGAGGATTTCACGTTTATTTTTTTTTAGTGTACCAACATATGTTAATTTTTTTCTTTTTTAAAAGTTCAACAAGTTCTATGGAACTAAACCAATTGTCCGCAGTTATATTACGGTTGGTCCCTTGTATTGGTTTTGACAACCGTAAAACTGATTGTGTAGGCTTAGAAAACTTCCTTTCTGTATGATCTAAGGTAATTCCATCAGTATTTTGTCCGGCGTAAATGTATGCGTTAAATAAATAATGACTGCGCGAATCAGTTAAGCACATTATTTTTAACCCGTATTTAGCTGGTTTATTAGGTATATATATTTTAAATTTGCATCTACCACGAAAACTTACTAACATCTCATCCACGGTAACACATGAGCTCAAAGAGTAATTCAATTTACAGTTTTCAATAAATTCATTAAAAATTTCAGAAATTGGTGCGAGTGGATCGTTTTCTTTTCTTTCAGTTCTAGTATCAGAATTATCGAAACGTAAACATGAAATTAAAAATAAAAACCGTTTTTTACTCATGACCAGGCGAAAAATTTCACGTCCTGTTCCGTCAGTTGCAAATAAGGTGTTTGCATTTTCATGATTTGATTTAAATACAGCTGAGTAAAATAGCAAACCAAACAATGACCTTAGCTCAACTTCGTCAAACATTTTTTAGGAAACTTTGCATAAGRTTTTTATATTTATGACGAAAACTATCAATTTTTATGTTTGTCCAAACCGATATTTCATTTATTATATTCTTAGAAAATAAAATATTCCAAATTTCAGAAGGGCGAGCAGTATCACCAAATTGTTTGATCGGGCCACGCAGTCCAGGAAGTTTAGTAATAATATTGTGTCGAGTAGTTCTCGTATTTTTAGACGCGAACTCCTCAACCGACCATTTAAATTTATTTTTACCATACAAGAATTTCGATGGTCTAATGTCATCGTCATTATCAGTATTACTCTCTGTCTCACTTTTATCTGATTCACTTACATTTTGTTCCGATTCGGAATTATGATTACTATCAATACACATATTATCAGTAACATCATCACTTACGTCTGAACAATTTTCAGCTAATATGTCTGATAAAATGTTCTGAAAAATGTCTATCGATATCCAAACTAAAAGTAACATGTCTAAAATAATAGCTCAAAAAAAAAAATTCAAAGTATTTTGTAAATTATTCGATATATAGAAAATAAATATATTAACATTTRGAGGAAATTTCTAATAGGTAAAACCTATACTATTCCGTTAAGCATTATGCCTATATTCGAGTATATTTTTTTCTAATTAATAATAATTATTAAATCATATAAGAATATCTATGAAAATAAAAATTATCATTATAATTTGTTTTGAATAAYTACAAACTAACAAAAACATTTGTAAAAATTTGGTTTTGCGCAAAATTTCCTTTTTCCCTAGTTATTAAGATTTGAGAAAAGTACTAAAAACAGTAAAAACGTACTCGCCATTGGGAGTTATTAATAATGTCATCCAAAATATACCTACTAAATTCACTTAATATTTTTTTTTCTTGGGGCTGGAGCGGCGCTGTGATCATGCACAGTTGATCGGATTGCGTCTCACACAGTCGTTGATTCATAACAAAGTGCGACAAAAAGATTGCATGGTTTTACGTGATCACTAATTTCTTGTGCTATCCGCCCACTGCGTCATCCAGTTTCCGACCAATTCCCACTCCACTGGGAGTAAAGACCCACACGTTTCTCCTCTTGGAAAAGGAGGGTAGTATCATATGTATAGTGATATATATATATATATAGATTAATGGATCATATGATCTCTCTACTACCCACCTATGATACGCATTGACAAAGACATTAAGGTAGTTTCAATGAATAATTATAGAGAGAAAAATACATTTTTTAAAGAAATTTTTATCATCGCAATCTCACCAACATTATACTGATTATTATATCATGTTTATGTATAACATTGCCATATTATATCGTTTATTATAATTTTTTTTTTCATGGCGCAGTTCCCTCTTCATATATGAACTTCCCTGCAATTCAGCAGTCGATTATCAAATGTGCCGCTCAGAATGGACATGTGCAATGCATGTCGATCATCGCAAACCACGGGCCATCGCTGAAGACATCGTTGAAACCGTGCATCCTGGCTGCCGGAAACGGACACTTCAAATGCCTCCAATATGCACATGACTTGGGTTTCCCTTGGAACAAGGCGGTTATTGAGAATGCAGCGAAAAGAAATCAACTTGAATGTCTCATCTTTGCCCATAAAAATGGGTGTCATTGGACGGAATATGCTTGCATTATTGCCGCGAGACGAGGTCACCTTCGGATAGTTAGGTATTTATTAAACAACGGCTGTCCCATTAGTTGGAAGGCATGCTACGCCGCTGCAGCAGGTGGCTACCTAGACTGTCTTCAGTACCTTCATGAAAACGGTTGCCCATGGAACAAATACACACCCATTATATCTGCGTCCAAAGGCTACATTCAATGTTTGGTCTACGCATACGAAAATGGTTGTATGTGGGATAAAAAAACGTGCAAGTCAGCTGCAAAATACGGACAACTAGCATGTCTTAAATACGCACATGAGCATGGCTGTCCGTGGGACGAGTYGACATGCCAATATGCTGTGCGATACGGCCAACTAAATTGCCTCAAATACGCCATCGAGAACGGCTGCCCCTTGACCGAACGGACGTGTAATGAGGTCCAACGAAACAACAACGTCAAATGTCTCCAGTACGCCCGCCGCGCAATTCAATCCCAATTATAGTTAAGTACAGTATAGTGTAGGAATATTGCAAGAATTTGGATTTGTTTTTTAAATTAATGTATTATTTTGATTATTCTGTTTATTAAACACAAAAGAAATTCACTATATCAATTAATTATTTTATTATGATTGCAATTTGTAGCAAAAGAAAGGTAATATGTTTAATGCTATATATTAAGTATGTTTTCTAGCAAACTGTATAATATAATAAATAAATAAATATATTTATTGTAGAAACAGTAAAAAATATAAAGGAGAGAATACATTTCCAATTTGTTCAGCACTTGGGCCATTAGAAGTCTATATTTTTCAGATATTATAAATCCCTTAAAGTACCATCTGCTAAAGAAAGTTATGTAGCATGTAATAATAATCAATGCATAAAATGCCTTGTATACAAACAAATCTAACAAATTTTATATACTTAGGCAATTAAAGCAATTATAATATTTAATATGCCTTATTGTTATTATACCATTTATTTTGTAGTTAGTATATTTATAAGCGGTAGTTAGGTTTTTAAATATTTTAAAGGCGAATAAAAACGGTTTTAGTATATTTTTATGTTGGCAAAATTGGTCAGGTAAAAGAAACAATATCTCATGCGGGAATTTTATTTTTCCAAGGTTGGCAAAACTGATCTCCCGAATTTTGATTTTGATGATATCTCGCTTGTTATCAAAATCGGGAAATCTGTACCAGCCCCCTTGCCCCACCTCTTAGATACGTCCATGACTCGGACGATGCTAAACGCTCCGATATCAAAACAGGTTAGTACACCTGCGTATGTCTCCGGCTATGGTCAATGGTCATATGTAACGTACTATAACGTCTATAACCATATTATTATTTTTTTTTTTAAGTTAGATACATTATACATTATTTTTATTACTTCTAATATTTAAAATATTTTCATATCTATTCAACTTTATAAATAAACATCAAACCTAGTTCTTCTTCCTTCGTTCATCGACCACATACAATAGCCTGTTATTGGATCAAGGTAAAATAATTGTTATAATACGCTATATTATATTTTTAGTATTTATGCTTATGTATTCATACCTGCTACCTACGTTGTGTCGCATTATATCAAGTGACGAACTAAGATTCACATCGATTTATTTCGAAARATGTTGTTTTCCATGCAACACACACATAGTAAGGCGTTGTGGTGAAATCAAATTTACTTTTTAAAATCTTTTTGTCACTTATTTRTTTCTTAATTCATTWGATTAAAATAACACATTTTATTATATGCATGTATTATACAATCATAAAAAAATACCTTCAATAATAATATAGCTATGGTAATGCATCTTTTTTAAAAATCTTAATTCTCTTCACGTATGATTCATTATATTCGGTGCTCAGTCACCAGGCGCCACCACCACTGTGTTCAACGGMACCCTTAAACCTGTTTACCGAACAATGCAGTGCCGCCATCACGAGACAGCTGCATACCAAGACCCGTGTGCGTGCGTGCGCGCTTCTAGAACGAATTCTTATACACATTGTACTATAATTTTATCATGCTAAACAATAATAATAATAATAATTTGTTATTAAATAAAAAGTAAATAAAAACAAAAAATACACATTGGAGAATATATATTTGACCTAGACAATGATTGGTACTCTGCAGGGTGTAGTAAAATATACATATTTTTTGCAGTATATTGTGCAAATAATTAATATCTTTACTAAAAGCTTGATATAATTTACATAAATATACATGATAGTAAATAATACAAATACAAAATCATTCAATTCTACCCCCAATAATTGTAATAGTATAAAAACAAATAATTCTAATGTTTTTGTGTACATAATGACGAATACATAATTCAGAAAATAAGAAAAATTACATTCCATAATATAGTTTTAAATAAATTATAAAAAATTGATAACTTTATAATATTAAAAATGCATTTAACTTCATTACATAAATTATTAAAGATTTTATATAATAATAATTATTATTAATAATCATTTTTGAGATAAATCTAAATGAATATTTCAAAAAAGTTACCTATTGTAAGGTTCAAATTATTATCATTATACTATTATCACAATGTGAAGACTGTTTTATCAGTTATAGTTAGTTCCGAACACGGACGGACGGAAGGAATATTTCTCTAATAAATTAACAATACTCACTTTGTTTTATTTAATTATTTACACTATATTGTAGGAAGGCCTCTTCTTTCTGGGCATAATTAAATGTAAGAAAGAATATTCATATAATAATAATAACTTTTATTAATCATAAACGAGTATCATAATACATAAGACATAAGTTACTACAACTACAAGTCTTCAACTACTGATACACTATCGGTATAAAAAATAATAACATAATAAACACTAAGGCAGTGTTACCAATARTACGGTATACTACCGACCACAGTATGCCTACAACTAGTGATGTGAGCTCGGTAAATTTACCCGGTAAAATTTACGGGTAAAAGTAAATTTACGTAAATTTTACCGAGCTTTTTTTTACCCGGTAATTTTTTTTTACCATTGAAAAAAATTGAGTGACCCCTTATTTTAAATGTTTTTACAAGTGGAATACGTTTATTTAGTTGGTATTTCTGTATTTTAGTTTATTATCTATATGAGTTT